TCACCTGACCTCAACACTTATGACTGTCATACTTATAGAAGCCCAAAGGCCTGCACTACAAGGGAAGAATTCACTATCTGTCGAGAAGACAAGTAGGTGGTAGATGCATGAATTGCGTCACGCTTCTCTTCACATTGGAGGGGTGGTGTGAATGCTCTGTCCGGTTGAATGGGAGCCATAGCGGCTAAGAAGTATCCACTACCTTGGTCACTGATCTAAGTTTGTTGCTGTAGTTATTATGTTTTTAAAAAACCGGCTTGATTTTCTCAAAACTTTACGGACATCCTAGTATATTCTGTACTCAATAACGATGGTATGCCATCAGTTCCTTCTGCTCTTGCATAGGGAACAAGAAGTTGAACATTATCCGTTCTCCTTTCAAACTATTCGTTTTCCACTTCATGTTAGGGTTTTAACCAGTGGAACAGCTAATCTATATTGGTGTTTGAAGTGAGAGAGTCGTAGAGTTTCCAGTGTAGGCTTGTGTAGACATGTGCCAGAGTTGGTTAAGAACTTGAAAAGTATATTTAGGATGGGACACAAAGTATCATTCCATAGAGGCTTTTAGGAGAACCATTTAATCCCAGCAAAAACGTATTTGAAGACTGTAATCATGGTAAATAAGGGCACGTTAAATAGACCTAAGGGTTTTCGAATGTAAGTCCAAATAACTCTGTGTAAACTTCTGAACCAATGCCATTTATGATGGTTATAAGACGAAATTCTTCTGCAATATTTACGAAATGCCGTGGTTTTGCAAAGTAGCAAAGGCCTCAGACCACAGTCATTTTGCAAGTACCTCGAATCCCTCGGCTGTCTTAAGGCACGAGGGCGTATCTTAAGATTAACGTTCAATTTTAGTGAGTTTATCGAAGTTATCGTTGAAGAGGATATTTCTGTGAAATGTAGCGACAGTTTGGATAATTTGTGTTTGCTCTCACTGTTATTTTGTCACTGCTTTTCTATCAGATCGTCAACGCTTCTGCTTCTGAACACTCGGACATGATGCAAATTTTCGTTGAGAATGGGTGTTGATATCTTCCTTCAGTAACAAATCAGTCTAATACGAGCGATGTCGTTCTCGTGCATATTGACTAACTGCTCCGTTGCAGTCAGTTTTTCCAAAGTTGATGAATCTTTTGAATCGCCAAGCCACTCTGCACATACGTCACGTGTTTACAACTTTTTGAAATCATTTTTTGATGAGGTTTTATTTTTCGTTTGGGTTTTGAGCCTATAAACTTGTTTTCATTTTCTCTTTATTGAAACTTTTTGTGGGAGATTAATTCGATAATGTGGTTTTAACGTTTCGATTGGCCTTCTGCTCATCTTTCCGACAGTTGAGCCATCGCAAAACGAGGTGTTTTCGAGCTACCCATTCAAAAATTCATGTTTATCTCTTCACTGTTTTGATATTTTGCTGTTGTTGTTTTGAACGTGCGCTTTTCAAAGCCTTTTTTACTGTCTATAACGTTTTGATATTGTTTATCGGCTAGTCATGGAGGGATTTCCCTAAAGTACGTTGGGCGAGGAAGAATTCCCTACTCGAAATGCAGGGTGTTTCTTCAGCGGCTGGCGAGATTGTAGGCAAAAAGATTGTTTTAATTTGTATCTTTGCTATTGCTAACCTCTTCTGCAACAATTGTAGATTTATTTGTTCAGCTCAACCTTGTTAACACAATAATATTCAATACATACAGTTTAAATTTCAGGAAAGGTGAAACGCAGTTCCTTGTGGATCACATCATATCCAACGCAGTAGTTGAGATCATTATTGCAGTGCTGCGATTGCGATTTCGATTCTTGTCCTGGATCTGTGGGAATGATTTTTACCGTATGGGTTCCTATCCTAAACAGTGGTACCGCCTCTCTGCTTTTTTGAGTTTCCTGCCCTGCCGGGACGTTCTTTCTCGTTGTCGTTTGTGACGAGAGGTGTACGAGAAGAAAATAGCCGGGTCCTTCAAGATCTTTGCGACCGGTCTGAAAGAAATGATGTTGTAAGATGAGGCAGTGCGCTGGCCATTAACCTCAAATAAAACTAGGTAATGCTATTGGGGCTGGACAATATTCAGAGTCAATTGTTATATGAACAAGTACTGCCTTCACGTCGTCCCCAGTACTGCTGCTTCATTGAAATCATCACCCATGTTACAGTATGAAACCTTATAGAATCGTCAGTTTTTCATACTCGATGTTCACACGACCTCTTCTACTGTCGTTTAGGATGGTCCAGGTGGACAAATAACAGCTTGTACTCGAACGGTCGTGGCCGCCCTAAAGGCCTTTCATTCTGATCATATATTGCCTTCAATATAAGTGAATTTAATTGTTTGTTTTCAGTCGATGAATCTCAGAAGAATTCTTGTTGTCTAGACATGTAACAATGACTCTGAACTTACTTTGAATTCTCAGCTTTCCTACTTATATCGTTTTAGCCCCATATACGGTCTAATTTTTCTCTTCAAATGGCGACCTGGGGAGGAGCCCATTGGCGAACCAGTTGACACTAATAATGTATTTTTCGCACAACAGGTAAATATAAATAGCTTGGCTCTTTTGCTCTGCATATTTCGAGTAGAAACATGTTAAAGGTGCTTTTTAAGGTAATTACCAACGCTTGTGCGACTCAAGCTATTATAAATCTGTTGATGAATGTGAACGACCCGAAAGTAAAGCTAGGCTCGGTACTCGAAGAATATCGTGACTTTGCCAAACAAATAGATCCTGCTGTGAGTGATTAAAGCGTTGCCGATGTTCATACTCAAGTCAAGACAAATCCTATTCGTTCAGAGTAGAGGTTTGGTTTTGTCTAATTGCGAGAAGATCCGACAAGTGCACAACAGCTTTGCTCGTCCGACATTCTACGAGCTTGATCTCAATATGCCTCCGTCTGAAGACAACTACCACTTCATTACTTTTGTACCCGTGGGAAACAAAGTGAGGTTCCATGATTAATTGCAAAAATACCGTTATTACTGTAATTCCGTCGTAACTCCGATTATTTCATCGACTGTTCATTTTTCTGATTCTTCGCTACAGTTTTATATCTGGTTTTTTTTACATAGATGTCATTGCAGCTTTTACCTTACTTTTGTTTCCGATTTACGAACTCGATGGGCTCCGTGAATTTCCTCTTGAAGTCTCTATAATCCCAGAAGGCAAGACGTGGATGGAAGTAATCAGCCCTATTATCACCGAGCGAATGCGTAGGTCAGTCAGTGCAGTGTCGAACGTAATGGCTTCGTTTTACTGCCTTTGGTTTCCTATAGATTCAACGACGGCGATATCATGTTCAATTTAATGGCTGTAGTTGGTAATATGATGGAAAAATGGACAAAGCGAAGAGAAGAAATTCTTGAGGTATTGTTTAGAATGTTCCGTCCCTTTCTTTTTGAAGAAATTAATTTTCATTAGGGTAAAATTACGTTCCCTTCCACGGATGCGATGTATGACGAGCTTGCTATCGTTGAGAATAAGATCGACGAGGAAGGACACAAGCTCGATACGTAAGTTAATATTTTCTGTTAAGGGCTGTATCGAGCAGGTATTATATTATGTGCTTCATTCCGCCAACGGAATTGGGGCGCCTCTATGGTTCTCCGTGGCGTTCCTCTACGATAACATTCTTATCCTTGTTTATAGCTCTTCTAGCTTTCCTACCTCTTCTGCTTCTAGCTCTTTCAGTTTAAGTTCTTCCTCATGACACGTCATCGCAGAGGAACCTCGCCGAGAACCGTAAACTTTCTATCAAACCATAAGTTTCTTAGCTAGAGACTTTCATCATTTTTCTCGTCGCGTTCACCTAGTGTGACAGTATAGCTACACAATCATCTGAGTATCGCATTGTGACAGAACCCAATTTCGCTATAATTCTTTTTGTCCTTGTAAAAACTGATAATATCGGAGATTTAATGGGAGTACATTTCGTTGTGAATCCATGGTCTTAGACATTGAATAGCGACTAGCTGTTGAAAGAGTATCAGCATATGTTTGAGGTTCAGGGAATTATACTACTTATAATTGTCCAAATTTTGTCAGAGGTATCGGTTTTCCAAATGTTTGAATTCCAGATACAGACGAGAAAATGCTAGACGTCGTCACAACTACTTGCCATTTATTGTCGAGATATTGCGTATTCTCGCGAAGGAAGGTCGACTTGTACCGATGGTAGAAAAGGTAGCGTAGTTATGCAGTTCTCTTGAGCTACATCGGCCAAAAGTGAAAAGCTGATATGGAATTTGCACAAGTGGCGTCAACATGACCGATTAGTGCCCTCCTCGTTGTAAAAAGAACTAAAACAGGGAGAGGCCCTTTTTTATAGTCAGTGTTGCTCATGTATACAGATTAAAGAGTGAGTGGAAGGTACGGAAAAGGGCTGGGTTTCCCTGACACACCCTGCACATCCAACCAACTGCTTTCTCTGTTATAAAGTTTGTTTCTACTTCTTGCCCTTGATTATCTACTATAAGACTGAGCCAGATTTTTCCCTAGTTCTCCCTGGAGCCCTGAGATCTCAGTACCCAATATTTTTCGTCATTCAGTTCACCCGTATTGTGGACCTGTTTTTTAGCTCTGAGTAGTCATGCAATCCTCCAAGCTCCCATTTTGAATGCGTTGTCATTTCAGGCACAGCTGAATGCACGTTCGCGACTGAAACGAGAGAGCAAGCAAGCACAACCAAACTGAATTATCCTTCACTGCTCAATTTGCAACATTCTACCTGATCAGCATTTTAGTGTGTCCTAATGAGCGGTCTTCTCTTAATGCCTTTCATATTAGTCTGGTTCAGTTGTATTCAAGACATTGCGCTATTTATCAATAATGTAGCTCTCTCACCTCTTCGCCACGGTCGACAAAACTTGGGGAGGCTGCGGTCGTTTCTCCTCCTCTCTACACTGCTGCTTTCGTGTTCATCACGCAATATCAGTGATAATCTGTTGATATGAACGGTTATTGAAAGATGCTTCGAAGTATACTCGTGTTTTCTAAGTTCTTTCGTCTCGCTGCAACTGTCCAACTGTAAAAATGGGTTATACCGAGCATAAACGGTCTATTTAACTGTTTTGGTTCAATGGCGTTAATTACTATCAAAGGTTAATCCACATGCATTTATTATGGATTTACATTCAACTGCTCAATGTTCAAAAGATGACATACATGATTTTTATACTGATGGAAAGCGAAGGAGTTCTCAGAGGTTGAAATTACTACCGATTGTGTGTCTATACTTTCACGCTTTCTTTGGATTTGGCAGAGAGTTTATGCGCTGGATTTCTCTTGCGCTTCGCGTCTGAATCGAGATTGAAAGTCGGACAATCACATCATTTCTAACTTGAGTGAGGGAAAAAATAGAAGATACTGTAA